CCGCTTATTTCACATCCTGATACTGAACAACCATTCATTATTGATCACTTTGCTCATGCTGGATTAACCAGAATTGGTGACTTGATTAACACGAAATTTCGTCGTTGGAAAACTGCAGACGAGCTCGCATCAACGGTACCAATACACTCCTATCGTATTCTCAAACAAAAAATTGATTCTCTACACAAAGGAATTATATCCAGTCTCCCGGACCTACCTTTTATAGAGTACTTTCACGAAGAAACTGATGAACCACCGCCACCAGACACCTCCAGGTATGCGTACACACTTCACATCAAATCTGACAATGACGATACCATTGTTGAGCACTCAGTCTCTCTATACAAATTCGAAAAGAAGGTTATATACGAACTTGTAATCAAATCACTTATTTTTTATAACAAGACTATAGACACTGTCTGGAGAGACATTTTAAGTATCCCAACCAAAATTATGCCCAATTTCAAATGTGTTTATGATTTTCCAGTTCCCAAAAACAAGGTGACTTACAATGGCGGTTTCTGAAAGGCGCCATTTCCACGGGCACATTCATGCAAGTTTCAGGTTACACTGACAATGAGTGCCCCTTCTGTAAAAACGTACCTGACGATTTATTGCACATGTTCCTAGAATGTCCACGTCTTACTCAGCTACTCAGAACTATATTTAAATTAGCTAAAAACATAGCATATCTATCCTCTCACGTGGTATGTGTTGGGTCCACCTTACATGAAAGGAAGAAAGTCAGATTTTCAGTTAAGTAATTATCTCTTTACCACAGCTAAAATAGTCACCCATACCACGCACTTTGATAAATTTAAGAATGGATGCAACAGTAATATACTTGATGTTTTTCACGGTAGAATCAAGAGACGTGTCCTACTTGAATACCAATATGCAAAATTGTGCAATAAGTTGGCTCATTTTGATACATTTTGGGGTAAAAAAAAAACTCTATGTAAAGTAGTTGACAATGCATTAGTATTCACGATATAAACAGCCGGCTCTGTTTAAACTTTACTTATTTACTATATGTAAAAATCGCAACTTTTTATACACATTTTTTAACTACTTGTAACGCATGCTGATATTTTCCTGGAATAAACGTTACCTGTTAAAAATCAAAAATCTCCTTCTCCTTTGCGTAAAAACAGAAGAATTTTGACGCGCATGCGTTAATGTGTTAACTACGTGAGCATCGACATGCTCATTAGCATAATGTGACAAGTGATTCAATGATAGTTGTTGGACCATTTACAAGTTTGCTACAATATACGGACATCGAACGTCACTCGTAACATTGCAGTCCGTGAAAACACATGCCTCTATTATGTGCATTTCACCTTGAAGCGGTCATTGACCAGAACCGTAAAAAGACAGTACAGACTTATTTGACCATACTAGACCAAACATGGAAACTACCGACAACTACACTTCCTGCAACATTTCCACAGATCATTGTGATTTTTCAGAAGAGATTGAACATGTGCATTGGACGCCTAACATCATCTACTACGCAATTGTTGTTCTCTTTGCCGTAATAGGTAACCTATTGTGTATAGCTACGTCTGTAACTATTATTCGTCACAGAAAATCTTTTCCATATATGTTAATATGTATTCTCTCCGTGAGTGATTTACTGATGACGATATGCGTGCATAGTATCAGTATTGCCAGTCTCGGTGCAAGGCAATGGATTGGTGGTGACATAACATGTGGAATACAATACTCCCTCTCGTGGGCATTTTTGAAGTTTTCATTTTTTTATCGTCCAGGCACAGACCGTCGATCGCTATCTTGCCATCAACCGGCCATTACTTTACAAATCTGACGTCACCACGCGGAGAGTGAGAATTGCAATTACGTGTTTTGCTGTGTTCAGTTTCGCCAGCTCCATTCCTACAGCGATCGTCAACAGTGGAAGGATTGGACTGAAACACGGTTGGTTTCTCTGTCTGAACTACAACACGGACACGACTGATACATATTATGCGGCGATATTACCACTGAATGGAACTTTGTTTGACGTCGCCTTGTGTGTGTTTTTGTTTTGTAACATAGCTGTGGCTAGAATTCTGTGTAGATACAGGAATCGAAGCTATGTGGCGGAACGAAGTGTCTCGGAACGACGGTTTGCCATACTCATTATTGCCCACTCTGTGGTGTTCTTCTTGTTCTGGGTACCGTATCTCGTAAGTATACTCAGGACACA